CATCCCGCCACCGTGCCCGGGTTGTGGCTCCCAGGCTTCTCGGAGATTCGTGGGGGCCTCGTGGGAAGCTCCCGGGGGGCCTCCCGGAGGCATGTGTGAAGCCTCTCGGGGGGCCGCTTGGGAGGCTCCCTTTGGGGCCTCCCGGGGGGCCCCTCGGGGCTTCCTGGGGGCCACTCGGGGTGGAAGGCCCGAGCCGTCCGCTCGTGTGCCCTCTCTTGGGGCCGTCCTGGGGCTCTCACGGGACGTACTTGGGCGCCTCTTGGCCCGTTTTTGGGCCCTCCTGGGCCGCCTTGGAGCCTTCTGCTGGGGGCCTCTTGGGTGATCCTGCGGCTGTCTTGGCGGTCTCTTGGGCCGTCAAGGAGCGTCGGAGCGGATACAGCTTCTGACTTCTGCTCCTCCAGGTCCCCTGTGTGTTTATCTGGTGGCTGTCGGCCCATTCCGCTACCGTGCTTGGGTTATGGCAATGGGTCATTAATCTTCTTGGATGCCCCCCCTGGCGGTCTCTTAGAGTGAGTGCTTCTGGGGGGACGTCGCAGGCCTCTTGGGGGCCTCTCGGGGACCTCTTTTGGAGACCTCTTGGGGGCCTGTTGGGCGCCGCTCTTGGGAGCCTCTCGTGTGCCACTTGGGGCTTCTTGGGCGCCTCGGGGGGCCTCTTGGCAAGCTCGAGGGCCATCTTGGCACACGAGGGCGCGGGGGTCCAGTTCTGATTGCCTTCAGGTCCGAACCCGATGAACAGCAATGCAGTTTTTGCTTGAACTCGGGAAAAGGCGCGGCTCACCCGACGAGTCTTGCGCCACGCCCCAGACGGCGCGCGGAAAGCCCGTCGGAAGTCTGGCACTTGAGCGTCTGGGCCTTTTTCGATCAATTTTCAATACAGAGATCCGGGGGGGGGGCCCGAGGACACTCCACTGAATGCTTACTGGCACGGCGTCGTCTGTGTCTATATATTGTACACATTCGTGTACATGTACACAAAGGAGTATGCACGTGTATAAGTGTGTCTGTACATATAGACACATACGTGTACAGTGATACATGCCAATGTACTAGTTCGTTAACCTCAGGAGATCTTTGGTTTTGCCCCCCCGGGGTTCTTTCGGCGGGGAACAAATCTTCGCCCCTCCTTCTCCTGGTCCTCCTCCTCCTGCTCCTCCTGCTCCTCCGCCTCCTTCCTCTCACTGTCGGAAGTCGCGCCCACACCCGCACAGACTCTTTCTTGGGGCGTTTCTCGCCCACGCTTTCCTGTCGTGCTGGCGTTGTAGACGGGTCCCTGTCGCTAATGCACCCCCATCAGATCGGTGCTTATTGGCTCCTCGCTGGGGCGCGCCTGGACTGGATGACGTCAGTTCAGGCATTGCGGTGTTCGGCGTTCAGGAGGTGCGACGGCGGTTCCGCGCTCGCGATGGAACTGTGCGCGGGTTGTCACTCCAGATTGGCCACTCGCATTGTTGCGTTGAAGCCGGTCCAAATTGATGTCAGTGACGTTCCGAAGGAACTTTTGCCACCCGTTGCGCGTGTCATTGCGCTTGGATTGGAAGGGCGGCTCTCGTTCTGCGGTTCATTGGAGTTGCGCTAGCGCGAATTGTCTGCACCAGTTCTGCCAGTCAATTCCAGGCGCGTGCATTCGCGCCTTGTAAGGTCCACGTGCTTGTTGGCGCAACAGCAACAACCTGTCCACGGATTTGTTTCTTTTTTTGTTTGTTGTCCGGGTGTGGGCGTCTTAATCGTCTTTCATTCTCCTCCTCCTCCCGTAGCCGTTGCCGTGTTGGCTCAAGACGGAGCTCACCTCCCGTCCCTACTCCAGAGGCTCGGGGCTGAGGTGGAAGGGCGGCCCGTCCTCAAGCTTAGCTGCCTCAGTCAAGCTTTCAGTGAGCTCCTGCGCGGAGCAACTTTCGTTCTTTCGGCCGAGCCGCACCAGATGCGGTAGCGGCCCAGTCCTCCTCTCAGGCAGGCAGCTTGGCGCAAGGCCTGCCTGTCGCATGTCGGGCCCGCTGCCGGCAACCGGGCTGGGTTTGGTGCAGTCGTGGAGCTAAGGAGTGTTGCATTTGTGGAGGGAGTATCATCCAGGCTGCTACCATAACCAGTGCCAGCACGAGCCGTTCATCACCCGCCCCGCCCAGGGGACGGGTAAAAAGTGCAAGGGCAAGGGCAAGGGTAGGGGCAAGGGGCTGGCAGCAGATCTGGGGACGTCTGGTTACTCCCAGCAGCATGTTCAGCAGTACGCTCCGAACCAATTCGCGTACCATCCGTGGCAGCAGCACTCTCGGCCGCTACGCGTAATACCGCCCCCACAGCCCCAAGCTCCCCTTGCGTGTCAATTGAGAGCTCCAGATCCCGATGCCATCAAGACAGACCCGATTCTCTTGGCCCCGAAGGACTACGATCACTTCAAGACCTGGCATGGGGTAGATCACCCCAGCACCCCGGACGCTCTGGAGAAACTCAGTGTCGCTAAGGACTCAGCCCTTGCAGCGAAGCCCACGGATCACCAGGTCAGGTC